AAAATTCACACGATTTTTGTGATCATGAATGATTATGAGAATTGATTCAATCATATTGAGACCCACTTAGAGCAGGAAGATAAATTCGAAAGCTCAGACTCAGTTGTGTTAGTCCCCATATCAATATATCTTCTATATATCTAATACTTTCTTTTCATTCTTTTCATTCTTTATATCATCACTGGGAGAATTATTTATTAGGTCTGATTTGTCGTTGCTGATTGACTCACGACAGATTAAAACACTATTAGTATCTTACAAATAGGAAATGAAGCAATAATACTATTTTCTTCAGTGCCTTTTGAAAATATATAATCTCATCACCGAAGAAAACGTTGCATAGATACTTACTAAACACACATAAATACGAATGAAAGTAAAAAAACAAATATAAATATGATATTTTTTCTCTTCCTTTTTTTCCTTTTGAAAATAACCGTGACAAATGGTTAATTTTTATTTCGTCATTATTTTTATAATGTAAAATGAGGATATATGATGTATCTGTTTTCTTTCTATGCTTAATAAAATTTCGTCATAGAAAGGTAAAGAAAAAAACGAAATATAGCAACAGTGAATCATTATTTGTTTATCATTTGGAAATAAATATTTCGTTTATGACAAAAAGAAACAGTTAGTTAAGTTGGAATATTCTACATGAGAATGAGTTGGAAGACAAGATAGTAGGAAAAGACTCACACAAAATTAAGTCATATGACAAAAACGAAACAGAAATAAACTGATAAAATTATCTAATCCATTAAAATTCTATTAGATTATTTTCTTGATTTTCTAATCAATCATCAATCACTTGAAACATTCATTGTGCATCATTAACATGAATGAAGATGAATTCAATCAAACTTTATCTCAGATTCCGATTTTAGATAGTAATCATATTTATGTATCTATATCATGAAGTGAATATATGAGAAACTCTTGATCTAGAGAATAACATTGAATCTAATATAATTATTGCGAGCAATTTGTTAATTCAAGGAAAACAAGCTTTATGGGTGTGGGTGTGGGTTTTGTCTTCATCGATCATACACTTGACAATCACACCCTCACTATTTAGTAATAATATTTATAAAAAAAAATAATTTATATTCTTTTTTTACTTTGAACATATTCTAATTACCATTGTTATCATATAAAAATCATCTAATTAATCGATTTAATAATCTTTTACTTTTAAATAGTAAAATTAAATCATCAATTAATACCAATTTATCTTCTGTGCATCTCATTTTTTGTTTTATTCAAATTATTAGCAACGTTTACAATCCTATAAAATAATAAATAATATTTCTAGGTATTTATGAATTATTATTATTATCATTATTAAATTTATATTAATAAATAATCATTGAAGATAATTTAATTTTAATTTTTTCATAGAAATATTTCAATTTAATAATAATTCAACTAAAAAGTATTTTCACATTTTCCCACTACTGAGCGTACTATTGACAAACGAGTTTGATAATATTTTAAAATGAAATTTCGAAATTGATTTCATCATCTTTATCAAATTTAACTATTTTTAATCTCACACGAAATGTTTTTTATTATCCACAAAAATATTCAAATTATTTCTTTAGTTATGCTAATCATATAGTTTTTCTTATGAAATTCAACTTTGAATTGTCAATATGGATTAAGTAATAAAATACTTTTAAATGCTTTTTATTTTTATCAAATTTCAATAAAACGAACAAGAACAAAACAAAAATCTTTTCACAAAAAGCCTTCATTGATTTGAAGGAATTGAATTAAATATGATAAAACAATTATTAAATATTTATTTAGATTTTTATAAAAAATATAACAAATCTTTTTCTAAGTTTTATTACGAGAAATCAAATAAGAAAAAAAGATTCGTTGATTAATACTCTTTGAAATTAAAAACCAAATTTAAGTTTTGTATCATCTCAAAATTTTCATTTTATTTGGATTTTATGTTTTATTTTCGCTTTGAAATTTTTTCTTTTTGTTTTTATCTAAATAAAATTCTTTTTATTATTTGTTTTGTTCAATAGAATTCATTTTGAATTCGATTTTTAATAGCCGTTTTTCTTCAATTGCGGAACAATTCTTAGATTTTATCAAATAAAAAGCTAAAAACTTTTGTCTATTTCCAGCAAGTAAAAAAAATTTTAATAGAATTTTATCAAACACATAAATCTTCTTCTCAAATAATTTGTATTTAATTTAATTCACAGTACAAAATACCTTCTTTTCTGATCTCCCGCAAGATTCAACCAAAAATAAATAATTTGCCGTTTATTTGTTGAAAATTTTTAATCAAAGTTATAAAATTAAACTATCAACAAAAAAAACAAAAAGATTTTTCCTCGTTCTTTTATTCAACAAAAAAATTTCTTTTCTTTATTTCAAAATCAGTATTTCAATTACAAGATGGTTTCAAATTTTTGAATTCGATGATTATAATCATCAGAAACATAAAGATTTCCTTCATCATCAAAAGATAAACCATGAGAATGACTCAATTGATTTTCTCGACTTTGTCCACCAACAACAATTTCACCTTCTTCTTTGCCTTCACACCAACGCATCACTCGATGATTCTGAGAATCTGCCACATAGATTTGACCCAAATTATCAACAATTACTCCTTTAGGATTAGACACTTGATTTAGATTTTCTCCTTTACCATTTCCTCCAGCCACAACTATTCCTTCTTTTGCATCTTTTCTCCATTTCATCACACGATGATTATTGTAATCTGATACATATACAGTTTGATCTTCATCAACAAAGATAAAAGTAGGACAACTGAGTTGATTAAGTTGACTTCCGCACCCATTTCCACCTGCCACCACAATTCCTTCATTGTATTCTCCCATTTCCCATCGTTTCACTTCATTCTTCTTATAATTAGAAACATAAAGAAATCCATGTTTATCCATTGCCAAACCATGACAGTCAATATTGTCAATAAGAATTTGCTGATTTTGATTCAACCATTGGATCACCCGCCTATTTCCTCGATCAGCAATGATGATCGAATGATTTTGTTGATCAACAATCACATCAGTTGGATAATTCAGTTGATTCATTCGATTTCCTGTCCTATTTCCACCTGCAACGATTTTTCCTTCTTTTGCATTACATTTCCATTCAACTATACGATGATTTGCACAATCAGCAATGAAAATATTTTTGTTTTTATCAATAAAGATTCCAAGAGGGCAATACAGTTGATTTAACTTTTGTACCTGTCCATGTCCACCGGCCACAGTGATGGCATTTTGTTTCCATTTGTTCCATGTTGGTTCTAGAAAATGATAAAAACACAAGATTTTAATGAAAAGAAGAAGAAAAAAAACTTGTTTTTTATCGAAGAAAAAAAAGAAAATATTAGTTTTCAATGAAACTTCGAGTTTGTTTTTTTGATAAAGTTGAAGTTTGATAAAAAAGTCTACTGTAAACGAGCATAAAACATTTGAAGTTTTGTATCTGGAGAAGAAAAAAGAATTTGAAATTTGTTTTAGTTCGAATCGAAGTTTTGAAGAGGAAAAATATTTTTATTGAAAGAGAGAAAAGATTTTGTTGATTTATTTTTTGTTAAATAAAAATTTGAAAATAATTCAATTTTGTTTTGATCAATCAAACATTTTTTGAATCTTTAAAGAAAATGTTTTTGTAATATAATATTATTTTATATTTTATCATTCTTTTTCTATATACGAATAAATTCAATTTTCTCTTTCTATGAATAGTATTATTATTAATTTAGTTAATAAATAAATAAATAATACTCAATTGTTTTTATCTTCTTCGTCATTACTTTTCTTTGTTTTTATGGTTGTTTAGCAAAAATTCATAGAAAATGAGAATTATTCTTCTAGAAATTATTTCTTAAAAATTTACTTTTCGATAAAATAATTGAAACTTCACTAATGAGCGGTTGTGAATTTTGTTGAATAGACATAGTTGATGGATAATTTAGTTCTTGTGTAATCACTTTTAATTGACTCCTTAAATAATTTAAGTTAGTTTCAGTAAATTCGTTTTCTTGTTGAAATTGTTTTATTTGTTCACGCAAATCATTAAATTTCATTTCAATATCATAAATACATGTTTGTAATGATTTAGTGAAGATTTCGCGATACTCTTGTGCTTTTTGTTGAATTTTTTCAATTGATTTTATTTCCCATTGATTAATTTGGTTCATTAATGAATGATTTTGTGGATTTTGTTTTTGTTCATTCATTGTTTGTTTAAATTCATTATATTCATTGGTGATATGATGTAATTCATCATTTAATATTTGACGATGTTCTATTAAATCCATTAAACAGAAGTGTTTTGAACATCCTTCACATGGATATGTTATTTTATCTTTATTACACGTAAAACATTTTGTTTTGTTATTTGCCATTGCCACGCCTTTGAACAGAAATTTATAAAAGAACTGAATATCTCCTTATTTACTTCTATAGATAGATTAAGTTAATAACCCAATGACATTAAAAAAATTGTTCCGTAGTAGAAGAAATCGAAAACAAATTTATTTTTGTTAATTTCAAATACAAATCCAAGCAATACCTTCGAAATGGATGATATATAAATCTCTTATCCACCTAACTATATCATCAAGTTCATTTTAATCTAGTATTATACTGTTATCATCATCACTCTCATTCTCAAGATAGTTATTATGTCATATTCTTTTTTGCTCATTTTTTATATTATTTCAAAAGATTCACTTACCAAAATGGAACTATTTCAAAGAATTGAATTGTTAAATTTGTGATATTTTGTTGTTATTTCGATATGAAGGGGAATTCAGTCTATACCACTTGTAAGTAAACAAATAAATTATTCGTTTACTACATTAACCATATACATGATCACATGGTATTTTCTTTCAGTATTCTCCTCTTTTCTTTCATATATGATCGTATCGTCTTTTTTCCTTTTCGTTATTATAATTTGTTTTTCTTCTGCTCTTTTAGCTTATATCGAAATGTGTTATCTTCTAGTTATGAACAAAAGTATATGACATAGGTATTTTCTTAGGATATATGGTATTTTGGAGATGGAAATAATCGTATAAGCACTCGTGTTTTCTTCTTGAATCAACAAACTATTACTATACTTTCAAACATTATCTTTCGTTTTTATCGATTAAGTTCTTTTGACTGTTTTGTAAAAGAATAAACTTTGATGTTTCATATGTTTACTTCCAGCTAAATATTAAATTCGAAAGATTAGTAACAAAAAAACAGGTTTTGTTTTTGGTCAAATAAATTTCTCAACAAAAGAAAATCTATATTGAAATATATGAGTAAGATATGATCAAATTTAATCATAATTAATCGAATATCCCGAAACTTTTTTTTATATATGTTAGCCTCGATAAATAATAGAAGTTTGATCTTTTCTCTTAAAAGATTTACTTTGAAAAGCTCTAGAAAAATGATGATACTAGATATCTGCGATGGTTGGAATTAATGATATCTATTTTATAATCTAAACAAAATATTTTACATAATAATACCATTTCTCATCATATTAAACATAATAAAATATACTTGAAAAAAATGATTTATTATTTCATATAAATGAATTTAATTGTTTAAATTAAAAAAGATAAATAAATCAAATATTTTTATTTATGAAAATTTAACGAAAGAATAATAATTGAAAGACCAAAAAGAATATTATTATTCATAAATGATTTATAATAAAGTTCAAATGATATTTTAATATTCAAAAAGCGAATATTTATAAGTTAATATGATACCAATAGAAGAAAAAAACGGAAATAATAAAACTGAATATGATGATCTTAAGAGAATAAGTGATATGTTCGGATTAAAGCATTTCATATATAAAATTAATAAGAATTTTCAGTAGATAAGTAGAAGAATTGATCATTAATTGAGTCTATATGTTAATAATTGAATTAAATTTAACAGATAAATTATGAAATGATAATAAAATATATTGAAGAATTTTGATAGAAAACATATCAAAAAATAGAAGAAACTTTATTAAAAAGTTTTCTATAATAGATATAACTTATTATTTGGATATTCAATTCGTTCTTGTTGATAGTAAAAATAAATCCTTATTGTTTTTTTTCCTTTCTTAAATGATAACTATATATACGTGTTAATATTCTTTCTTGTAATGAATTGTCTATATTCTACATATATTCATTTTGTTAATTAAAACTATACCAATGAAATAATATCGATTCATTTTCTTAGACATATTATTATTTAAGTTAAATATATATATTATAAATATTTAATAACTTATTATAAAATTAATTGAACAATTTTTATACTTAATATTAATATATTTCTGCTAATATGAAATTTATAATTTATTTTTTATTTGTATCATCATGATAAATATGGTCTGTGTAAAATAAATTTATATTTTTCAATTATTTCTTATGTCATTCAAATATTATTATTAGTGAATATCGAAGATAATCACATTATGATCATTTTATCTGTAATTCTCTTGTTTTGCTTTTATTGTTTAACATATTTTATGAATCTCTTTTCGAACATGAAACTCTCAAATGATATAAATATTTTTCACATTTTGGAATTTATTTCATTATGAAATTCAATTATTTGGTTAAGTGCCTATTAACTTCAAATAATTGTAACCTGATAATAAACATTTTTGTTATTCATTCGATCATTTCTTCAATTACTCTAATGATTGTTTTTCTTAACAAATACCAGTATGACTCAAAAACTAGTGAAAACAATATTCATACTCTCAAAGCATTTTTCTTTCATTTAAGTCTCAAAAGATCTCAACAAAAAAACTGAGAACAAAACGAAAATCGTTTGAAATTAAAAATATTTCAACAAAACTTTTAATTTTTTTATCTGAAATTGAAATAAAGGAAATTCTTATTTCAAAAAATTCGACTAAATCTCACAGAGAAATGGTAAAATATTTACTTTGATTTCTTTGAAAAATCAAACAAATTTTCTTCTAACTTTTATTAAAAGAAATCAGATAAAATAATCTTCATTTGATCAAAAATCTTTCAAATTTAAAATTAAACATGAGTTTTGTATCAAAATGTTCATTAATTTATTTTGAAATTTTAAATAAAATTTCTTTTCATTGATTCCATCTTAATAAATCCATTTTTAATTCAATTTTTATTAAAAAACTTTTTCCAAGTCAAATATAATAAAATTGAAAAATGATAAAATTTATTAATTTATGAAACAAAAATCTTTTCAACATTTATTTTCTTGAACTAAATTCATTACAGTTCGATTTTTCAATTTTAAACAATTCTCAAATTTTATTAAATCGAAAAAACAAAACTATTTCATTATTTTCATCTAATAAAAATATTCGGATAGAATTTAATCAAATATAAAACTTTCTTTACTGCTAAGAAATTCAACAAAACTTGTTAACAAAAGATAAATAATTGAACATTTGTTTACTCGAATTTCTTAATCAAAACAATAAAATTAAATTCAATTCTGATGAAAAGAAAAATAAAAAGATTTTTTTTCGTTCTTTTGTCAAAATATCTCTTTTCCTTCAAATATTAATCAATTTTTCCATTGATTTTCAATAATAAAAATTCACCTTTTCTTTTATTTCGCGATTATTTATTCCATAATTTTTTTTCTTTTATTCAAAATCAAAATTTCATTCAGAAGATTATTTAAAATTTTTGAATTCGGTGATTAAAATTATCAGCAACATAAAAATTTCCTTCTTCATCAAAAGATAAACCACAAGGACAACTCAATTGATTTGATCGATTTCCGAAACCATTTCCACCAATAATAATTTCACCTACTTCGTTTCCTTCACACCAACGCATCACTCGATGATTCTGAGAATCTGCCACATAGATTTGACCCAAATGATCTACAATTATTCCTTGAGGATGATACAATTGATTGAGATTTCTTCCGTCACCATTTCCTCCAGCCACAATTCTTCCTTCTTCTGCACCTATTCTCCATTTCATCACACGATGATTGTTGGTATCTGATACATAAACAGATTGATCTTCATCAACAAAGATAAAACTAGGTTTATTAAGTTGATTGAGTTGATTTCCTTTATCATTTCCACCTGCCACTATAACTCCTTCGTTGTTGTATTCTCCCATTTTCCATCGTCTCACCTCATTCTTCTCACAATCAGAAACATACACAAATTCATTTCTATGCATTGCTAACCGAGCACAGTCAATATTGTCAATGAGAACTTGTTGAGTTTGATTCAACCATTGAATCACTCGTCTATTTCCTCGATCAGCAATGATGATCGAATAATTTTGTTGATCAACAATCACATCTGTTGGATGATTCAATTGATCCATTCGATTCCCTTGTTCATTTCTACCTGCCATAATTTGTCCTGCTGTGGCATTATATTCCCATTCAACAATACGATGATTATTAAAATCAGCAATGAAAATATTTTTGTTTTTGTCAACAGAGATTCCGAAAGGATGATAGAGTTGATTTAATTGTTGTCCTGGTTCATTTCCACCAGCCACAGTGATGGCATTTGTTTCCATTTGCTAAATTTTGGTTCTAGAAAAGGATGAAAAGAAAAGATTTTGTTGATTTATTTTTTGTTAAATAAAAATTTGACAGAAAAACGAATCTTTTAGAAAAATTATCAATAAAAAATTACTTAAATCGAAAAATTTGTAGAAAATAAATAAATAATGATTTAAAATATTCTAATTAAAAAATAATTTTATTTTCATCAATAAAAGTAAATCATATTGTCATTCTTTGCCAAAAGAAAATTTATTTTTGACTCAAAATGACATTCTTTTGAAAAAATAAAATATTGATGAAAAACATCTTTTCTTTTTAGAATTTTTCAGATCAAATTAAGATCATTGATCTTTTTCAACGATTTAGATTTTCAACAAATAAAATTTTCTTTTTTTTCTTTCAGAATAAATTTATCTCATTTTCGTTTTTTTAAATTTAATAAAAACCATTTCATTTTATGTCTTTCGATTGACAATTTTCTTCTTTTCTTTATTATAATCCTTATTTCATTTCTTTTCTCTTTGTATTTTTCAATTTATTTCAAATCAAATAGTTTTATTTGATTATTAAATAATTTATACAATAAAAATTAACAGAGAACAGTCTTCAATCTCATTTAGAGATTGTTGAGTTTATTTTCTTTTTTGATTATGATCATCACTATAAAAAAAATCATGAAAAACTCATCCATTGTATTAGTATGATCTATTACAAACAAACTAAGTCTATTGATAATGTACAATATATTCTCTTTCTCGTAGAGAAGAGTCTAGTAAGCATAAATTGTTTGCTTGCTTGTGTGTCCGCAAGATCAAAAAAACATCGAAGACCAATTTTCCAGCAAACACATTTCTAGAGTAATTTCGATGCGGGGACTTCGAATCTGATGTTAGTTTTTTGAAATTTTTAAAAAAAAGTATTTTTTTAGACAAAGAACCGCTTTTTTACGAAAAAATTTTTTTAAAAAGTTTGACCAATGGGTTTTTGGAGTCGAGAAACATGAATCTGATATTAGATTTTTGAAATTTTTCTATGGATCACTTTTTTCACACAAAGAACTATTTTTTTACAAAAAACTTTTTTTTTAAAGCTTGAGCAAAGGATTTTTGGAGTCGAACAACACAAATCTGGTGTTAGTTTTTGCAAGTTGTTTAAGCAAAAACCGTAGTATTGTAAAATACGATTTCTACGCGAAAGAGCTGAGTTAGTCCCTAGACGAGCGTTACTTGTATAAATTATTGTCAGTTAAAGTCATTCTGTATAATTTCTTCTCCTTTGTAATAAAAAAGTTAATATCTTCTATTATTATCCTAAACAAACCACTTTAGAAGTTTTTCTAGTATGATACTCATGTTTATGCAAGTCTCTTTAAAAGATTATTTGAAAAACTCTTCCTATTTGTAGAGAATTCTCTAGACTTTCCTTAATTTTTACTCAAAATTTCAAATTTTTGTCTAATAAAAATATTGTGAAAATGAAGAAGTTTTAATTGGAATCTGTAATTTATTAATTGAATAATTTGTGAATATTGATTTAAATGAATGGGAAATATTTTATCATATTTATTAGATCATATCTTCGAAGGACTGTCAAAGGTAGATGTGGATGAGAATGTTTACCCACTCCCTCATGTAGTATTACAATGATACTTATTGTTTCATTGGATTGTTCTTGTCTAATCTCTAGTTATTATTAAATTTATAATATTCTTATCATAAAAAGTTTAAAAGTTCTAAGAAGAGAAAAATCTATTGATGAGTTCATACGAATCTCATAACATCATCTATTGTGTTATAAAGAGAATGTTTCATTTTGATGATTTTTACTTGAGAGTAAATATAATTATATCAAGAAAATCATCCGTCAATAAAAGTGAAGATCAGTTTAATGTCTTTCAGTTTGCCTTTTTTCTTGAAAATTAAGAATATTGGAACAGCTGTACTTACACTTTTTATAGGAACTAAGATATTAATATATGAATCATTATAGATAATAAGAGATTACTGAAAGATCGATAATTAGATATTTTTGATAAATTCTATTGATTTTCATCGAAAGTTTTCGATGAAGAAGGAAAAACAGATTCATTTTCTCAATTCAAACAGAAAATTTTAATCTATAAAGAAAATCTAAAATGCAATAAACTTACTTGAATTGGGTGTGGGTGTGGGTGTGGGTGTGGGTGTGGGTGTGGGTGTGGGTGGGTGGGTGGGTGCGGGTGTGGGTGTGGGTGTGGGTGTTAGGATCATCTTCTACCTACACACCAATACCTACACCCACACCCACACCCAACAATGATAAAGTAATTCCATTTTTCTGCCAGAAGAATTTTTTCTATCTGTTATGTTAGTAGATATTCGGTGATTTATATAAAAGTACTACACTTATGATAACATTCAAGAAAAGACAGTTTTTTTGGAATACAAAAAAGCTGATAAAAATTGATTTCGAAGTTAGTTTATGGAAAAGTAAACAAACTATTGGTAATCATCCAATAAACCGAAGCGTTTTGGTTCAGTATGTTCAGATTCAGCATAATTATATGCCATTTCGATCGAAAGGAATTTATGACCGAAAAACAATCGATTCTATCTATAACAAGTTGTATAAAATGTTTAAATCATTGCAAACTGGAATGAATAACTATTTCAGATGGTTACCATCTAAAATGACTGAAATTGAGAGTGAGATAGAGGATGTGGGTGAAATAGAATAACCAGATTCTAACCATCTGCGTCTGTAACCGACGCAGTTTATAATGATTTAATTATTTAAAATAAATTCTTATACGTAAGATCGATCTTTTCTGATCATGATTGTTTTTCAAACCAATTAGATAAGAAGAATTGAATTCTTATAAAAAACACAGATCTTCATCCAAATTTTAGGTCATGGTCGATATATTACTACTATCTATTGATATAAATTTGTAGTCTATATCTATTGTTTATATTATTTCAAAAAAAACATTTCTCATACTTAATACAAATTCTCATTCAGTGCTCGGATAGACAAAACATTGCAACGACACACTTTCACACTGAAATAATATCGAAACATATAATCGGTTAAAAAAGAAATTTTAGTCTTGAAGTTTTATTAAAGATATCCATTATTATCTCATCGATATGATAGATGTAAGTATACATATGGGAGAAACCATTCTGCTGTTGAGTCTATACAATTTTTTAAATCAAATCAGAGTCTATCGAAAGTTTGACTAGAGCACAAACGTTAAGATGAGTGAGGAAACTCAATATAAAAAGATAAGTATGATTGAATATCTATCTATTCTTTAGCTATATCATCATCTTCACTTCCATTCAATTTTATCTTCATTCTCAAGATGGTTGTTCTACGATATTCTCTATACTCATTTTTCATATAATTTCAAAGAACAAACTTACTAAAATGAAACTATTTCAAACACTTGCATTTCTAAACTTGTGATGTTTTGCATAATTATTTCGATATAAAACAAGAATATTGTATGTCTCAATCTGAATTTCTTTTTCGGTGAATAAATTCTTCTTACTGTTTTGTAAAAGGATATAATATTTTATGATTCGTGTGTTTTTTTCTCAACTATACATTTGATTTTAAAAAAGAAATGTAACAAAACATTTTAAGTTAAGGAGAGAAGAAAAATAGCAAAAAAACATTTTTTTATTTTTGATCAAATAGATTTTTAGTGCTTTATAATGAGACAACATGAAAAAATAAAAAATAAACAACAGGAAGAAAAATAACATTTTAAAAAGTTACGAATAATTTCAACTTGCTTTTCATTTTTTTTCTCTACGTATAGTATTATTTCATTTTTTTTTATTGCGCTTTCTTTTCTCCTTTTGTGACTGAACAACCACTTTCAATAGTTTCGTTTTGTTAATCAAAGAAATTGAAAATCTCAGACAAAATATTTCAACAAAAGAAAATATTGATAAATATAATGATTTGATTGAAAAAGAAAAACTGAATCGAAATAAATAAGTACAAGATATAATCTGATTTAATCTAAAAAACAAAAGTATTGTTTATAATCTGATATCTCAAAATGTTTTTTTATATACCTTAGCATTGATACATAAAGAGAAATTTCATCATTCCTCTTAAGAAATTTTGTTGAAATCTATTTGAAAAAAACACATCAATAACTGTCTTATTTATGGAAACATCATTCATATTGTATATAATATTGAATGGATATATTTTTAATTGAAATAATAAACAAAACTAATCAAATAGAAATTTTATTCGTCAGTGGATTTTTCTTAAATGTTATTTAATAGAAACAATGAATAAACCAATTGTTCATTATAATCTTTTAAATATAATCTTCTCAATAAAATTATTAATTAGAAATTTATCAAATAAGAATGGAAATACATATGAAATAATACAAAAGTTTATTGACTTGGTGATTTTAAAAGTCTCAGTTTAGGTTCAAATATTCTATTATAATGTTCAAACATATTAAGGATATGTGCAAAGTTTCACACGCTTGAGTCTTGTGTTTTGCTGTGATCTATTATTTCTCTAACATAGGAGAATATCAAATAGCTACGTTTTGACTTTCAGTTTTCAATTTTTTAAAACGTCACATTAAAAAAAGTAAAACATATCACGAGATGCAACATAAAAAGATGTAACAGAGATGTCCATGGCGGCGCGGCAGCTTTTCTATGAAAGAAATTTCAAAACTCAGACATTTATACAAAATCTCGACGTTAATATATGCAGAACGATAAGGCTTGACGAATCTTATTGATTGGCAGGAGCCACTCTAATTTAAAATGGTCACAGCCTTGAAAATCCAAAGATTTTTAAAAATATCATCGCGGCAGCGGCAGATTCTCAACCGCGATGGACATCTCTGAGATGTAACAAGAATTTTGTAGTATCGAAATTTAATCACCAAAACTTGTTTCTATGTACACAAAGCAAAATGTGTAACTATAAAAAAACACGATCTTATGTAAATTGTAGAGCTTTACATGCTGCATCTTTGATG